AATCATATTAAATACCTTTTAAAAATAAAACTAATAAACTTGATACAGAAATGGGAATTCTCTGTTTGTAGTATATAAAGTTCGTCGACACCTAATAAAGTTTAGCTGGGAGATATTGCGCAAAACGAGGATGGAGGGAGACGAGTACAGTGTGGTACAATACAGAGAGACAGTTCAGTACAGATGTACTGTACAGTACAATAGAGTACAGTTCAGCTGCAGTTCTAGATATTCGCACGACAGTAAAATTGCTGCAAGGAATAAGTTATAGGATAAGAAGGTTATATTTCATCGACATAATATAAACCAGCTTCCAAGCTTTGATATGATATTATACTAAATCTGAATATGTTGCTTTCCCTGTAAGTTGTTTCTATTGTATAATAGTCATACTGAGTAAGAAATAACTGATTTGATTAATTTTACTAAAAATAAAATTTTCAATTGTTATTCGCTTTAAACTGATCACTCTTTCTAACTGAATAAAATTTCAAAATTTGGCACAAAATGTAAATTCTTTAATAATTTCTTGGCAAGTAATTAAATTTTTGTTATGAAAGTAAATTTACTAATACGATTTTCAAGGAGTTTAAATAATAAAATAAATAAATATTTTCACTTTGAAAAAAAAATTTGTTTGGATAAAGAAATGTTTTAGCGTTATGCAAAGGTTTTTCGGTTGATTTCCGAAATTAGTTTCAAAGGTATAAAAAAATACAAAAAAATAGAAATAATATTCATGGAACTAAACTTTAGTTCGTCATTTGAGATACGTTTTCAGTTTATTATAACTCGACTTAATTATAATCATCGACAAAAAAACTACCATTTTTTTCTCACAGAAATTGCGTCAAATTGCCTAACTTATTTATTAAATCGTTGATATTCTTCCGAAAACCATGACGATTGCAGTTTAGTACGCAAAAATTTAGACCATAAATCATTCGTGGTGCTCAATGGCTTTCATAGTACATTTAAAATAACTTTGACAGTTAAAACTTGTGACGAAATAAAATTACTACCAATAAAATTACTTATTGAAAAATTAATAGTATTTAAATTAAATAAGTATAAAGGTTTTATATTACCAGAATACCATTAAATTCTTATATTGGAATTCTGTTTTCATGACAGCAATTTATTATGCTTAAAATGATAAATTACTTACAAAAACTACTCAATTATTACAGTTTGAAACTATTTATTGCAAACTATTCAATTTTATTTCAATCAAATATACCTTTTCAAAATTAATTTTTGGTATCAAGAAAAAATAGATTGAAATGATCTCAAAACTGGTCACGTATTTCAAGTGAAATGGGAGAAAAAATATTTGAAGTAATTGCACTCGTCAATGATGCTTTAAGTTTAGTACTAATATACTTTCCATGATAGGAAACGTGAGTTACATTCGAAATACATGTTCTTTATATCTTTTGGTAATTCACGTGATGTCACAATTTTTTGTTTGAAGTATTCTATAAATCACTGAAGGCGGTCAAAGTTCTTAAAACTCATCTTTTAGCCAGTGTAGATTATTTATTTTTCAAATAGTGTCCCTAAATACTGTTCATCATAGAAATTTGAAGCATATTTTGATGTTTATGAACTAAACACTGGTTCATTGAATTAAAATTTAAAACAACTTCTTTTTTAAGGTTAATTAAGTTCTGTTCTTAAATTTTTCTGTTATTAAATTGTGTTGTTGCTTCGAAACCAAACGTATTTCAGGCAGCAGGTGCGTTTCTTATTTTACAGTGGCGCCATCTTTGGCCAAGAATACGACTTAAGCTACACTCATGTCATAACCCGTTTATAAAGCGAACCCATTCATTATCCAGTCATTCATCCCCAGATTGTAATTTTGACCTGAACCAGAGAACGATCAATCTCCAATTCAGTACTCCTAGAAATATGATTTGTTATGGGAACATGAAGGACTTTGTGCGGCGACAGATTTAACGTGCACCAGTCACCATATTCAGCTGGCGGGGATTGAACTCATAATCTCTTGGACATGGAGAAAATGCCCTACCAATCAGGCTATCCTGTCCGTATGTAAATTGTATCATACTTTGAAGATCTTTGATTAATTTCTGCAACTGAAGTATTTTTGCTGTTTCACAAGAATTCAAAATTTTTATTGATTTGCGTTCGGAATATTTTTGATTTCTAAGTTGTATGTACACTGCTTGAAAATTGCTAAGGAACAACTGAATCATGCAAAGTAACGTTCTTGACAGCCGATCATTAAAATCAAGTGTGGAGAGCGCAATAGAGCAATATCAGTTACCTGTATTAAGGGCACACAATCTCTTCATTCATTCGAAAATTCGTAATGTTAGGTATTTGATCAAAATATCAACATAGGTTGTTGAATTTATTTCTATGAAATTCGGTGTGGTGTTGCAATAATTAAGAGCAAAATGTTAGCAAGATATTATTTGAGTTCTTACAATCGTGGATGACTGGAAGCAGGTCAAAATGTCGCCACTGTGGCAATACAGTAATGGGAATGTCAAAAAGAGTCATCTCGAGATAAAAAAGGTGAAAATACTGCACTGTAGCATGCCGTTGGTCGTTGTAGGAACTCAAGAAAAGCAATAAATATGATAGAACAATACAAAAACTTAACAGAAATGTCACCAGGTACCTACAGACTTTGCAACCACTACCGATACATATGTTTCTTCAAGAATCACCTGGTGGCGATAAAATCAAATTGGTCTGTATGCACAGAACCTGTCCGATGTATCCCGGCTAATCGTCGAGAAAATTTGCGTTGATGTAAGGAACGAATTAGTTAGGGTAAGCAGCAGTGGTCTGGAGTGATGTTCTCCGACGAATCCCAATTCACTATGAGAAGTGATTCTGGCTACCAGTTAGTGTGGAGAGAAGGGTGGGGAAACACGTTGCGCAGAGCAATAGGTTTATGAACTTGATAGGTATGGGTAGGCATCATACACAATAACTGAACACCACTTTAAATCCTTGATCAAGATAGCGTTACATCGCAGAAGTTTTGCAGAGGATATTTCAGATCATGCCTGTCTTTTCAGAGGTGTAGTAGGTCCAGACTATCTATTTACGGGCGACAATGGGTGGCTATATAGGTTTGCTGAGGTATCGGCCACATTAAAAAGTAATAATAATGACTATGAGACATGGCCAGTGTACTCCTCGCATCTAAATCCTATAGAGTGTGCCTGCCGACGTGTTTCACAAAAAACAAGCCCTTTTCTTTTCAAACCATGCAAGAAGTAAAAACTGCTTTGAGAGCATTGGGAAGTATCTCCCAAGGACTCTTCGATAGTTTAGTGGGCAGCATAAATAACAAATGCTAGATGTGTATTAGTGCCCGGGGTTGTCACACATTTTACTGAAGTACGCATTTCTGTTTCATTCTGACAAAAAGATCCACTTTTCATGGCTGTTTGGCAATCGTCCAATCAGCATCTTTTTTATTTTAAATTCTATTATTTTTTGATATGTCCATATCTGAACTATTCCGCAGAATAATAAATGCACATTGTTCTTACTAAATATGTAATTAGTTTCTTTTTATCAATCAATGTCTATTAATAATTATTCCAAAAAATGTAACTGATCTTTAGCGATTGTCTAGCAGAGCATTTCTAAGTGGTTATTAGCGTAAAACAAAGCTATTAAAAATATTTCTTTTGTTGCTTACTTTGAAAAAAACACACAAATTGGAATAAAAATTTACTCTTAATACTTCTTTGTTTACAAAGAAATATTATTTGTTTGCTTTGAATCATTATGATTTTTCGTAGTTTTTAAAGAAACAAGGAAAAAGTGGATTGTTTTATTATTTCAGTTTATTTCTTTTAGTTCTTCCTTTATGGTTTCAATGTAACAGCTATAAACAAAGCAAACTGCTATAAAGAAAGGGAAGAGATTTCTTTGAAACATCCGAAATAGAAATAATTCTAAGCATTTTATCAGAAATTATAAAAATATAAAGGATATTTAATTTGTTCTTTCGAGGAATTTGCTATAAATAACTATTTCCTTTCTTCCAGTTATTTTCCTTCCTTGGTTCTATTTAATAAAGGTTGAAAAAATATATTTCTTTGCTTTAGAGCTAAGCGTAATTTAATTTTATGTGACCTAATTTACTCAGAAAATTCTTTCTCTTAAAATTATTTTCTAAATATATTCTATTATTAGCAAAATAACTTAGTTTAAAATTTAAATAAAATATATATTTACTTATTTATTAAAAAATGTGTTCGATATACGAACGCGTTGATAAGCTACATGACAAGCATCGCGTAATCTGTATATATAGTTTAGTTTTATATTTTTAAAGGAATTATCTTAATTTATCAAAATGCAACAAAAAAATGATCCTGACATATTATATTAGGCTTTACAGGAAGAATCTATGATAGTTTTATTTATTTCGAAAAACCAAAAGCTTAGTAATCTGAAAAGTTTTTTTTTTAAAAAATTTACTTTTATTTCTTCACTGATCGTAAGCCCTATTATATCTTATTTAAATAGTAAATTATAAATTATTGAAATAGTACATATTAATCATAAATTAGTTACACTGTACTTCTAATGAATGGGACAACATGCTGCATAATAATATAGTATAGCATTACCGAAGAGCAGTATTTTACTGAATATGATATTGAAATAAATTTTTTTATAAGCTACGTAAAACCACCAAACACTTATTGTAAATTTATATTAAGTAAATTGAAAAAAAAATCTCATCATTCAATGTAATTTTAGTTTATAAAAATATTCAAAACGTACTTCATTTGTTAGATTAATAAATCCTTTAAAAAAACTGTTTAATGCATTTCTTCCTCGTAGACATTTTTAGAACCAAAACAAATGCAAGAATAATAAATTTCTTACTTTTAAATCTGAATAGTACATATGCATGATATAGCAAAAAACAACAATAGAATACTTTTAATTTATCATTTAAAAATGTAGTATCATCACTATGACTATGGAATTTATCGCGGAGAGTAAGTAAATTATTGAGGCGCCATTATTAAAGCGATTTTCATCTAATATTTTTGTTCCGTAATAAAATTTTAAATATGTGAATAATATGTCAAACTCGTAAATTTATTTAAATAAAACTTTCAACGTTCTCAACTTTCTGACATTGAATCTTCTAGATACAAGTTTTAGAGTGAGTATTACCTTAGAAATAATGAATTATTATGTTTAAATATTTTGTAATTAAACCTTCAACATCAAGCTTGTATGTGAATTTAAAGAGTAATACACTCAGACGAAATTTATGAGACGTAGAAAACGATCCAAGTTTATTTAAATTTGTTTTCTAGTATTTTTTGCAATTTCTTTATATTTTTTTGTGTAAGAGAGCGTTTTTTTAAGTTTAATAAAAAAGACTGCTCATGGTTCATCTTAAAATATCATGTTTATATAAAAATATTTAAGTTCCTAAGATTAGTCATAAGTTGTTTTAATAAATTGTAGTTAGAAAATGAAATATTTTCAAAACGAAATTGCGATAAAACTTAGGTCTTCTCAAAAAGTCGAAACAATAATATTAATGTCTGAAATCTATTGATATTAATATTATGTGCACTAAAGCAATATACTTTTTTATTTAACTTAAATACGTATGATAATAATATTTTTCTTTAAATTTCAGGACATAGATAATCCTAATCGATTAATAAAAAAATATATTGGGAGTGAACTATTAGCGTTGCGTACGTGACATGATTTGGATAATCCTTTATTTCAGTTGTAAGAAAATTGGCATTTTGTTGCAAAAATATTTCATACAAAACGTAAGAAAATACTTTAAAAACTACTTTAAGGATGGATAAATAAGTATATTTCTTTCCCGTTAAAAAAAGAGAGCTTTCGCACGCTACATTGTGGTTGCTTTTTATCGCACTAAATTGCTTTTTTTTAAATATCTTCCATACAGTAAAATATAACTCATTTATTTGTGTTATTTGTCAAGACACGTAACAGACCTTTTTAAAGTTTATACTCTTATCTATATTTTCAAACATCTTGATCCCCGTAAAAATTTTTTTTTGCAGTTACTTAACTTAGTTAACACGACACATATTATATTTAAAATTGACTAATTTGGATAGAATTTCTTTTGAAGTATAAATATAGAATACTTTTAAAATAATTTATGTTTATTCCTGTTACCAGATAAAACTATAATTTTTTGCTGCCCTTTTAATTGTGAAATAAATTCAAACTTAATATTTGTCAGAGCTAAAATTTTAGATTTGTGTCATGCTCTTAATTTTTAAGAACTTCTCACTTATTAAAATTCCCTTCATTAAGGTTACAGTTTACCATACATTTTGATTTTCAAAATTATAGTTCTCATTACCATACGATTAGTAAAAATACTAAATTGAGAAGTAATTTTAAATAAATAAATAGGTTTTATGTCATGCTCTAAGGTGAGTGGAGGCAGGGGGAACATGAAACGTAATATTAATTCAGTACTGAAATTAATATAAATTTTAAATGAAATTGCGTTATATCTGCTGAAAAATTAGTGAGGTATCAGCATTTAAGTTCCAAAATGACATGGAATAACAGTAATTACAACAAATTTGTAATTCACTTCAGAACTTTAAAAAAAAAAAATCGAAATTTGTATTTTGTTGTATGAAACTTTTTAATTAAAGTTTTAATTTTTTTAAAATTAAAATCTGTTAAGGGAAAAAGGGCAATTATTGCATACCAAGATATCAAAAGATTGATGAAAGTCACTATGTATCTGTTATGAAATTTTGTTTAAAGAACAATTTATATTTTAACTGTAGGAGCGATTAAACTTGCTACAAAATGATGTATAGTATTCATTATGTTTAAACATTTAAATTTTAACACTAGTTTAAAATTTTTGTTAAATTGCTCGTCTATTAAAAAAGGCCGTTTCAATAATTATTTCAAACAATATTTCAATTTTTTTCAATTTAAAAATTAATTAGTAAATTGTATATTTAAGAAATATTTTATTGTTCTATTTTAGAAAGTCTGAAGAAAATAAGATGACTCGTCTCTTTCGTTGTATTACAAAATGGAGATTAAATCGTCATTGTTCGCGGCGGTTCACATTTTATACTATTTTATTTTCTGTCATTGTACTTTTACTACTTTATGTCAGAAGAAAGAAATTAAATGGTAAGATTTTTAATCGTAAAAATAAGCCATAAACATATATTTTTTATTTGAGTTTTCTCATTTATGTGTTTAGCCTTCAGTCGGTTGGTTATTTAATCAATTAATTACAGCCTTTCTCTTTCTTTTTTTTTAAAAAAAATTACTTTAGTATTATATTTGTAATTTACTTGACATCTTCTCCACAAATAATTAACATCAAATTTCTGCATTGACTTGGAATATTTTAGTTCATCCTCATTTATGCTATACCTGGATAAGTAATTATAGATTTGTATAAAACTGATTGATGCTGTTGTCCCTCTTCCATAAAATTCTATATTTTCATTTCATTTACCTCCTAGAAACACCTCCTATTTAACAACAAGATTTATATTATAAAGGATGTTTATAGAATTTTTATGTTACACATATTTTAATTTAGTAATGAATACATGGTTCACACATGGTACATTGAATGGATCCTACGAACGTCCTAGTCATTGTGTCAGCTCATCGCTAAAAATCTGGTTTCGATGTTCCTAGTTGTAAGACAAAATGCTTTTCAATCAAAACATCTTTATAATTGTTGGAATTATCAAGTATTTGTAACAATAATTAAAATTTTTTCATAACTGTTAGTATAACATCAGGCTGTCAAGGATTAAATTTATATACATTTTTTAAAAAAGGCCAAATTATTCTATAACTTACAAACATAAGGAATTATTTTATTCATCAAAACATCCTTCCAAATACCACCCTTTTTCCATTTAAAGCTGTTTTTCAAAGGTTCTGCCCTCACAGAAATTTTTTTTTCCAAAATAACATGCTATTTTATTTACTGCTATGAGTTTGCAATAGTTATTTATTATTGTCAAGTCAAGTTTAGTCGAAGCCTTACATGCTAATTCTGAGAATGGCGCAGAACGTCAGTAGGAAGAAAAGTCACAGATTCGTGAGAATGATAAGTCTAATTTGTTAACATTTAAATGTTACAGATGCGCTGCATTAGTAAAAAATAATATCGGGCTCATAAAACTGCTCAAAAATTGGAAAATGGTTCTTAATTTTCATAATTCTTATAAAGGTGGGAAAATCTCGCAAACTTCCACAAAGTTTAATTTTTAAAATATTTTAATTATTTATCTGTTCTAAAGCACAGATAGATCTTTACCAAAATGGTAAAATTGAAATTTATAGCTTTATCTCAAGTGTAAAGCAGTTAAATTGTAGCTTTTTTTAAATTTTTGTAGACGAAATAAACACTGTTAAGCGATAGGTCACTCACGGCGGCGGTTCAAACCCTAGCGGGTGATAATCAATGAATTCCTGGAAGGCCAGGTTTTGATCACTGACAGAATAAAATTGTTTCCTTTAAAAAAAGTTGTTCAAATCAAAGAGATAACTTAGGGCTGAGGCTAGGTCTATCAGCTGGATGGAGGATAAGGAAGAATTTCCAATTCTCTAAGACTTTCCGTTCTCTATCAGCTCTCTCAAACACGATAAAAAATCCATGGTTTATCTGATTCCGGGAAGTGTTACGTATGATTACTACACCGCTAAAGTGGTTGAAGAAAGTTTGCAGCATTTCAAAATCAACTACGGGATTAATTTTGCTGATCTCAATGCCGGTTTAAACACGCAAAAAAATTGAACGGCATTGTGGTTTAAATAGAGAAATAAGAAAACAACTTTCCATTTGCTTCTGAAGCTGTACACCGTTCTCTAAAGTGAAGCATCAGTTTAAGCACATTTTCCGCATAAAAATTAATATCTTGTGTATTTTTTAAAGCAAATGCCGTGCAATGATGATAGTTTTCGACTTTGCCTTTCCAAGTGGAAATAGACCTAAGATGTCGTCAATAATAAAAGCAACTAGAGTTGGCGGATTAGTGCCAGGGTTACCAAAAATTAGTACCCCAAAAAACTGTAAGAAAAAATTATTTGTGTATCGAAATCGGGTATCTCTATCTGTTAGCGTAATTTATCATATTATGAAAGAACAAAAATACTGGCTGTCTTATAAATCAAGCCGACATCATTAAGTTGACTGATAGTAGAGCAAATATTTCACCCAGATATACTCGAAAACAAATTTTGTATATTAGTTTCTTATAATTTCTGTTAAAATGAAATGATTTGAAGAGTTATGAACCAAGTCACGCCCTCTGAGATCTCCAGACAGAAAAAAAAATACTTGACCTCTTCAGTAATATCTTTTTTAATATTTATACCATTAGTTTTCCCTCTACCGGAAAATACGCGTTGTTCATTCCACTAATTTAACTGAACAGTATCATCAAAAAATCATCAATACATCAGTCTAGAGACCAATAAAAGTATATTTGAGGTAGCATAATCTTTTTTCCTCCTCACAATAAAATCGATTTGGCTCATCACACCAATTTTCTCTCATTCATTTTAATGGAGGATTAATGTTATGGTTAAAAGTTATAATATTCTGAAAATACCCTTGTGGAAGCGTTCTAAAAAAATAAATTTTCATCATAGTTCACAAAATTAGGTGGAAACTTCACATTGTGAAAACATGTTTGTTCTGCTGCTATTAATTAAAAAACAGTGATGTTTACAGCAAATAGAAAATTATTTATTAAAATTAGAAAGAAAATCACTGCTAACATTGCGAAGAGGCATGTGAGTAGACAATTTCTGTAAATGAATTAAGTGTTTTTTTTTTTTAATATAACGGTAAATGTCAAAATTTCATGTGTTATTGGAGAAAATCGCTTAATGTAGTAACAAAGTATGTCAAGTGTCTTGAACCTATTAAAATTGAAAGAAAACGGAGATTTTGTAAAGATTTATTTATTTTGAATAGTATTGAATTCCTGCTGTAAAGTTTGTTGCAAATGCTAGTTTTTCTTTGCCTTCTCTGTGGATTTTTAAATGCCCATGAAGTCGATACAAGAATAACTAGAGCTTCGAACTAATTTATCAATCAAAGATTCGATGGCATGTAACGATTCCGATTGCACTGTTTTAATTTTTAGCATTTGTTTTAATTTTCTAAAATCTACCCATGGACGAGTTTTTAACTTCTTTTTCTTTTTAAATTCAAGAGTTACGGAGGCAGACTATGGGGAAGAACTTTCCTTTCTTATATTATATTTCATTAAATCCTGAAATTGACTTCCTATGTCTTTCTATGTTTTTTTTGAAAATGTTTTATATGGCCTTAAAGACATCGACCAATCCTACGTTAACCTCACCCGTTCTATTCGAATTGTACCTACATCATATTTCTTCTTAGCAAATAATTCCTCATACTCGATCAGAATTCCGAGTAAATAAGAATTTTTTTCACTTTTCATTGATTTCGGTGTTTTGTTGACGTCAATCTGACACTGTGCACACTAATTATCATAATTTATCTCAAAAACACTCTAGATCATCCTTTTTTTCTTTTCCAGTTATACATGTTTTTGTGCAACTTTTATTTCTGAGTACTTTTTTTGCTTTTTTCATTTTCGAAATTGTCTTTTCAATATTCCCTATTCCTTTCACATAATTTTTTTGTTTATTTTGATTAGCACTTAATTGTACTGGATTTTCAGATGACGAGTTCAATGTCAAGTTACTATATTTGACAGGATGGAAAGTGATCAGTTTTCTGTACTTCTGGTAAACAACTTGGTTTACAAAATTGATTCGTATAGGATTGTCCTCATTCATATTCATTCAATATCCATATCAATGCGTAGAATTTGAATGGTTTTGATGGCAAATCTTGCATCGCATGATTGGTTGAGAGTTTGAGTTTTGGGTCGTCCTCTTCAGTCAACGAATATATTCAGTTGATGAATATCAGTCGTCCTCTCTTGATTTCTGTACACTGAGAAGATTTATAGCCAAATTAGGTGACAATTGTAGCGACGCAATTCTGGTTCTTGTCTGTCTAATTTGGGCGTGTAGTAGGGAACGCGATTAATTTGTGTTATGCTTTTGTCTCCATGCCACCAAAGTTATTCGTAGTCGCGTAATTTGTGTTTCAAATTACTTACATCTGCAGAGTCATATAAAATCGTTTCGTTATGTAATGTATCCTGAAGGTCATCAATGCTTGCTCATCTATATTGTCTATGTAACTAAAACATGAAATTTGTTTTATTTTTTAAAAAACTAATCTTGCACGGATTCTTGCATACATATTCTTTTGACTCTGCAACATCTCATGAATATCAGCAGTATTGTACAATATTGTTTGATATTCATTGATCAAGGCATCTTTTAATTTTGAACATGAATCAACATGGGATTGGGTACGAAGAAGTAATAAATCGTTCCCCCTTAAAAACCTTTTAGCATATATAAACTTTTGAATCAAGGACAAAAAAAATTAAACGCTTTAGATATATTTTCAAATTATTCAGTCCAGTTAGCTATATTTTCGTGTTTTTCCTGCTTAAAAAGAGAAGTGATAGTTTTGATATCTGAAGATAAGCAGTAATTTAGGTTCATTTACATTTTGCTCTGGTACATTGACAGTTTTTAATCTATTGTCTAACAATATTTATTATAGAATTTATTGTTTTAACAGTAATATTATCTGTTTGTTGATCCCTATTAACTGCTCTATTTTCCTTTCCAGTGCTTACGTCATTAAAAATTTCTCCTTCCGATATATCATCTTCAGCTGACGAATTCCGAAGAATATCAAAACTCGTTAAACACGTGATAATTTTTAACAAGGTCTTCTATCTGACCACAATTAAAATATTTAATAAATCAGAAACTTAAATTAATTCAAACAATTTAAAATTTTCAATTACTTTTTTTACTTAATTCATTGCAGTTATGATCTGGAATTTCCTGAAAGATTCTGAAAAATTAAAATTTTTTGTTCTATTTAAACGCGCTTTATTATTTTGAAAAAAAAATTTATCCAACAATTTAACTTTAATTACATGAGTTGTTTTTATTGACTTAGCTACAGCTTTTATGTCTTTTAATGACATTTGAATTATTTATAGTTATAGTAGATTTAAGCATTATTATGTAAAAAGAGAAAGAAAGGAATAATTTATTTCAAAAATTTTCTGATTTAAGAAAATTTTTTGGAGCAATATTTCCAAGAATTATGTAATGTAATAAACTTACCATTGTTCCGAATTCTGCTGAAAAATCTAAAGAAATAAAATTAAAAGAAAAATATATTTGATTATTGTTATTCAGTATGGAAATTGTCATATTGTAGAATTTTTTTTTGAAGAGAATGCATCCGGGTTGAGAGGAAAACTATTTTGTCGCGTTTATTTCTGATAATTTTACATTTTTTTTTTAAATTGGTGATTTCAAAATATCTCCAATGCTTCTTTGTAAAGAGACGAAATCCAAGTTTCGTTTTCTCTACAGTCAATTAGTATGAGATGTATTGTTTTCAAGGACAGAATATTCATTTTGCTGCGATGCTTTACTTTTTTTCCAGCTGCATTTTATAAATTTGTCTCAAGAGGTCTTACTGTCATTACTTAATTGTTGTACGATACACAATTTCAAATGCGAAAAGATGTGATTTATTTAAAATATTTATTTCATGAAGATCTAATTTTACTTTTCTCGATGTAAAATAATTTTCTGGATTTTTTTATGTGAAGGAAGGATTTAATTTCTCCGATTGTTTTTTTATAGAACTTTTTTCGCTGCATGGAGAAAATTAGTGAGTTTTTCTTTTTCTGTCCATTTTCAAGCTGATTGTTGCGTCGTTCCGATGAAGTTTTTTTACTCTTTTTTCTCTCAGCAATTTTTTTAAAGCGATTTTATTGTAAAATTTCGTAAACCAAGCTTAATTATTCACGAAAATAGGGGCATTTTTATAAAAAAATTTTTTGTTCTAAAATATTTTTTTTTGTTTTGCTTTCTTACTTATCGTAGAAATATTTTAGAATTTTTTTTTTTAAAAATGGAGCAATGTTTACTTTGTAACGAAAATATCATTTGTAAGGAATTAACAACCACTTACCACTCTTATTACAAAATTTAGAAAAATGCGTGAAACTTTTTAAAATTTCAAGGTATTTAAATCTGATTCTTCTCATAAGTTACCAAATACACAAATACAATTCAAAGCTATGTTAAGAGAAAGATTTTTTAAATATTTCTTGCACATACGCAGCATAAAATAACTTTTTTATATGCTCATATCTTGCAAAATTTTAAGCGATTTTTTTTCAAATTTCAAAATGATATTTATTAAATTAATTAAAAATTAATCTAATGCAAATCTTTCTTTTCTAATTTTATTAAGCATTTCTAATTTTATTGGTAGAACAACGTAAGACATTTTTTTAAAATATCCGTAACTCCGCAAATATTTAAGCTAGGCTTACAAATTTTATGCAACGCCTACATATTTTAATCAAAGTAATGATACAAATTATAAGTTTATTTCTATATTTTCTGTCATAAAGTGTTTTAAAAAACACTTGTTTTTTCTTCATAATTTTTTGCTGATCCCTTAAACCTCTGAAGTCTTTAAACTTTATTGGTTTGTATAAGAAACGGCTTAATCTTTAAAGTTAAAAAATTATTCTTTGAGTATTTCGTGCGAAATTAAAAAAAAAATATATATATTTCAAAGTGAAAGAGTCTTTTCAATTATTGTGGGGAAGTGCTTAAATTTACTGCGTATAACGTGAATCAGGAAATAAATGTACAGTATTAAAAAGAGAAATGTTGATTATGTTACTCACTTAAAGTTAGTTTTTGAAGACTTAGTTCTTCATAGACTAATTCAGAATTATTATTGTTGAAATCAAAACTATTTTTAAAGCATTTTCAAAGTAAGTTTAAAATAAAGTTTTAAGCTTTTTTTCTCTGTATCATGACGCATTTATTTGGGTAATTTATGGTTGTAATAGTTAAATCTTCAAAATTATCAATAGAGCGGTTTGTCATTTCATACTGCGTTACATGACTCCTAATGTGCTATGTTTCATAAATCAAAATAATTTATCAAAGACAGTGTTTTAAAATGGAATATTAGTCTTTTGATTTGATTGACACTTTTGATTTTTCTTTCAGTTTATCATTATTCTATGTTCGAAGTGAGTGATGTTAATCGATTGCATGTGCTACTTGTGTCGTATGTGGAATCTTCATTTATAGTTGAAATGCTACACCACTTACCAAACACCTATTATCAGTTTGAACCGGAACAGTTTTCAAATCAAAATAAAGAAGAACTCCATGAAGCTATATATAAAATCTTTAAGTGTCAACAGTCTTCAGTAAGTTGATGCTTTCAAAATTTTGTGTGGCGCATACTATTTGTGCAGTATGTCGAAACATGCTAATGGAAAAAAGAGAAGAATGTGACACATTAATGTATCATTAATGCGTTAATCGTTTGATATTTGAACTAGAGTTTGCACTATAAGAAATTTTTGAATTAAAACTGGCTGTTTATTAATATATCATTAATGCGTTAATCGTTTGCCATTTAAACTAGAGTTTGCACTAAGAAATTTTTGAATTAAAACTGGCTATTTAGACTCGCTATTTTTTTCCTCTTTTTAATGAGCTTCTCCTTTCAGGCTATATATTAACCCAATGAGTGAAGCTTTGGGAACAAATATGACATTTAGAAACAACCCAAGTGAATATTTTCAAGTGCTAGTTTAAGGAATTAACACTTGAAACGAAGTTTAAAGAATTTATGACTACATTTAAAGTATAAATTGTGAAATTATTATTTAATTTGACTATACATTAAGTTGCTATATTCAGATAAAAAAATAACGTTCATGTATTACAATATTGTACTTATATCTCCTTAAAGTACACTTTGAAATACATTTTAGTTTAAATGGAGTCTGATTATATGGAGTCTGGTGCAGTCTGATTATGCAGCCTGATTATGAAAATTGAGACATTATATCCATTAGTATTAATCATTTTAAGAGTCATTGAATCTAAAACGCTTCTTTCATAATCTATTGAAATGGATTGAAAATATTTGAAGGTAGATAAAACACATACGAATGAAATATATACAAAAAAATGAAGGTTATAAAGACTCACTTTTTTTCTTTCAATTTTATCTCAAACTCTGCAAAGAAAGTGCTATTTGAAAGAAAGTGGAATTTCTGTTAATCTGCTTAAAGACGCATTTTTTTCTGTAAACAGATAAGACTTGCAATCATTAATTCCGATTTTTTCTTGTTAATACAGATTTTTCTATTTCAAATGCGTAAAAGTTAAATATCAAAGCAGAAACAAGCGGGATTGATAGATATTGTTTATCCCCCACGAAAGTAATTTTTTGCAGATGCTATTTGAAGATACATTTCGTGTAAAGAAGTTTTTGTTCAACTTTACCGTGCCTACTTCATTCAAGTGAATTGAATGAAAGAGTCGTTAAACCTTTCTAACCCATCTTGATTGTGTGTACAGTGCGCACCCAGAATAAATTTCGTTCTAACAATCGTATTTTCAAGTAATAAGTGTTAAACTTAATGGTTTTTAGGAGTGACCTCAAATATGCTAATTATTTAGTGCTAACTATTAATTAAGTTGCGAAATAAGACCCAGAAACGCACTTTCTCTGAATAAACATAGATTTTACATATTTGGAATAAAAAAATAGGAGGTAACCGCAATCTGAGAAATAAGGTCCCCATAGTTTTGTCAGGAGAGCGATCCAGAGTTCGGAACTCTTAATGTTAATTTCACATTTTGCGTTTTTAGTCATATTTTTAAAACTAATTAAAGAATTAAAAAAATGCACCCACTCATTCAAACCGTTTACCTAAAAGATAATTTTATACAAAAATAATTTTTATTAACTATTTATTATTTATTACTATTTAATTTAATTGAGGATGAAAACATTTTGAATTATGAGGTATAAATTTTTTTATGTCACATTAATCTACATATTTTTCTATTGAAAAATCTAAAATTTCAACTGTTTTTATAAGTAGAAGCCGAGAAAAAAATAAAATAAAATATTTTTTTAAATATAATTTTTCAACAATGAAGAAATATTTCAATGGGGCGATTAATATTTAAATTTGGTTAACTTACGAGGAACTTGACTTACGCCAGCGTAGCGTAAAATTTCCTTAATAATTTTTTTGTTGCTAATAACCGATTGCTAATCCTTTTTTAAAATTATAAAATACGATGTTTCCTTCATCTAAAAATTTATTCGTAACTTTGTAAAGAAATTAATAAAACATTCTATTCAAGGAATGTCAAGTTTTATAAAAGCATGTTTCTGATAGGATGTGAGTATACATCAGATTATGATATTATTTAAGGTGATTATATTTTATTTTTTAGTTTGTTTTTTTCAATAATTGATACAATTTCAATAGCATACATACGTATGCATAGATTTCGAAAAATATATTTATCAATTTTCTCAATATACATATTATAAATTATTTCGAATACGTAGTCAACATTTTTTGAGCATCTTAAAATTTCCCAACGATCTACTTATCTATAATCTTAATCTTAATTTCTTTTCTAATTACCTGTACGCGCATGTTTTGCAGAACTATTTTAAAAAACTATTTTATTAAATTCTAACATTTCTCAAATTCTAATTCTATACTCTTCTAAGTATATTATTTTTTATTGATATACTAATCAATTATTTAATACTTCAAGTTTTCTTTAAATTCCTTTTTTAAATTACTGTCAAGTTTTCATTAAAAGAAAACTTGGATTTCTTGCCTGCTAGCAGAGAATTAAATCTTGTTACGAAATTACAAACATTATGTTATTTAAAATTATTTAATGCAAAACGGCTGACTATTTACTGAGCAATTTTATTTTTTTCGAAAAATAAAGATAATTTATTGATTGTCTTTTTTTAGTGCTGTCACTTTATAGATTATCTAAAAGGATTTTATAAGTCACTGCAAGGAGTATAAAGATACCGAACATAAAGAACTGTGGAATACGCAGCCAGAATGTTTAAGCGCCCTGAAATATCTCATTCTCTTATATGTCGTCCTAACATCTTAATTTTGAAATTAAATTTTTAATTACCTGGATACGTGTGTTCCACAGAACTATTCAACGAATTATTTTATTAAATTTTTTACTCTTTCTTTACGTTACCAAGTAGATTTTTTCCGGTAATAATTAATTATTTTGCTTAGCTTTTAGTGGTATTTAAAGTTTATTTTTAAATTAACTCTCGTTTTAATTAATTGTTAAGTTTTTTTAGTCTCATAACTATAGCCATTTTGCTGATAAGAATTTGGAAACATTTTCTATGTTGAAGTTGCTCAGTTCAAAACGGACTTATCGTAGTAAATAAGTGCACCCTTTTTACTAAAATTGAACAACCAAATTATTTAGTTATTTACTTTACTGTTTCTTATTTGTTTGCTTTGTGAAAAGTAAATACATATTAGTGCAACTCAAACAACATCAACTGCCTGCTTTGTTTTTAAATAAACAAATTTGAACCGCAATTTTATTTTGACGTTTGAAGTTATATATTTCACCATTAAGTTTAAGAAAGCTGCTCTCTTAACAAAAGATGTTGAAAAAATTCATTTTCGATAAAATTATTTTAAACTTTTAGCATAATTCCCAAGGTATTATTATAGCATAATTTGTTATTAGAAAAATATCTTATTTTGTTAAAAAGCAAATACTAAAACTTGAAATGTGTAAAAAGATTCCGAAGCCGAGCCAATTTTAGAATCCTCATCTGATTTGAAAATGTAATGAAAAATACGTGATTTTTGTACTTGTTTTAATAAAAAATAAATAAATAAATATGCATCAAGAGGCTTCACATACTTTTTACAGAAACTGTGAATACTAATATTTTTTCTGCATTTTGTCATAAGAGGATGAGAATGATATTTCTCCAAGGAGCTTACTCATTAATTTTTTTATTTACAGAATTGAAATCTATTTGGATGAAACATATTATTGCTTGAAAGCTAAAATGAGAAATATTTCAACTATTATTATTCATCTAAGCTCATTCCATTAATTTAATGATAGCGGATGGTTAGTCCATTAATTTAATGATAGCGGATTTCCATGGAAGCCCCGTTTACTATTATACTGTAAATTCCTTAAGTGCAGCTTGAATAGTTTATTTTAATCAAATTTTTTAGTAATTATAAGCAAATAAGAGTATTAAAATAAACTCGATCGAAGTACGCCTAAAATATACCCTAAAATATATTTGGAATAAACTTCGGAATCAATAAATAAAAAATACAATTTCAAACAAATTCGAGAAGGACTTTAACTTGTTTGAAATAGCTTTCCTTGCAGCTATTTAATTTTGATTCCTGGTACTAGGGAATATTCCATTTTCACTTTCGACTTTTGAAATTTCAATTGTAAACAAAATTTTTTGTATCCTTAAGAAATGTTATTAAGGCTAGCAATAAAAAATTGTACTGCATTGCTTTTTCAGAAAGTTGCGACTAGGCAATATTTTTTTTCAATATAAAAACCTATGTCTTTATCTTACGCAAAACTTATTTTAATATTGCGTGAAGTAATCTAATATACTGCGCTACTAAATGAATAATCCCAAGAAACTGAATCTGCTGGATATAAACTTCATTGATTTAAAAAATAATAGATGATAATAAAAGTAGACACGCTTTGAGAGTCCGAAAAATAACGTCACAAGTCATTCATGCCTGTCGAGTCTGGAGAATGGGCGCCTATTTTTGAACTCTCGAAACTCGTTGAGTTTTATTTCCCTCTTGATATTTTTTAAACCGAATGAAGTTTTTATCAGCAATTAAACTGTTTTACATTTGGGTCTTGATCACTATTTTGATAAGGATTTTTTGCTCGTAAAAGTAAACATATGTATTTTAATATTTTAACAGGATTTATGTGGTCTTTGAAAAAGTAAGAGAACTGTAGCATAAATATTGTAACTATGAAGTTAAAGATAACTTTAAAATTCAAAATTTCAGACCAGATAATTTGTGTTAAAGAAATTGAATATTTTTTAAGGCTTTTGTGCTCTCATTTCAGTATCGAACTCTGTTTAAAAGATGAGTATAGTATTAGGTATATGTAAGAAAACAAAGAAATCATAGTAGTGGTATTTGGTGATAAATATAGCTTATAGTAATTAAAGAATATGTGCAACATTTTATGGTGAGTTTGTGAAAATAAGTTTCAGAAGGTATCGAAACATGAGGATGCTATTAACAAATCATCTTTATCCAAAGAGAACCATGTGACTTAAATATTTGGCAGAATGAAGCGAGTTTTCAAGCAATGAATTATACAATATACAACATATTATTTCTCTATGTCATTATTAAACATAACATATTTCAATGCCTTTAAAATGTCACTTAATATTCTGAAATTCCTTCAGTTACGGAAAAAAGAAATATCGTAAAATATATAAAGCATTGTAAATGTGCATTAGAATTACTATACAATCTACATTTTTTTCAGACACTTTTTTTTGCTTCATTAAACTTTTTTGACTAGAAGACTCGATCAAAACTGTAAAAATGATTATTCCTAAAATTTATACATAGTAATAAAAAGTTATGTAAATTTGATTTCAGTATGGAATCCGCTTAAAAACAACGTAAAAAACACGTATAATGTCAGATAAAAAGTTCATGTATTCAAATTCCAAAAGCTTACTAAGCCATGAATAATTTAGAAATTGATTGGAAATTTCTCTTCAAAGGAGATTTAAAAAAAAAGAAAAATTCTGTGGTCGGAAATCAGCTGAAAAATTGTCTACTGTCGAGATATTTTCGACTAACTATTAATAAATAAACCTCTTCGAGCAACCACGGAACATTATTTCAATTTTTTCGATTGTTTGAATTTGGTTTGCTTAGCAAGGAAGAAAAATAAGGTATTCCTCACTTGAATTAGTCTATGGGTTATCTTAAAATATTAATTCGTGGCTGTAACTCGCTTGGCTGTTTCTTTGGGACTATCGTCAAATATATATATAACTTATTAGCCCCCCAATTTATGATCCAATCTTTTCAAAATTTTGTCTTCCCTCCTGCTTTGAGGGGTATCCAAATATGTAAAAAATTATCTTTTTTCAAAGAAAGTGAATTTTTGTGTCCGATTTCGTAACTTAATTAATAGTTAGCTCTAATTAATTAGCATATTTGAAGTCACCCCCAGAAACTATTAAGATTGATTGACACTTAGTGCGTGAAAATCAGATCATTAGCTCGAAAGTTATTAAGGGTGATATCTTTTTTTTGCGCACAGAAAATTTTTTTTCGTGGTGGTTAGGGCATCCAGTAACGGACACAAAGGTATGATTACTTTCCGCAAACCTCCACATTGAAATCTAAGCATCTTTCATTCCCCAACAACACATCACCTCGATTGACCGTAAGACGAAAACTCGCCAATAAACAGACTCTTTTAGAATCTACTGAAATAATCTGTCCAAGATTTTTCCACTTGCATACGTGGTTTTCCCATCTGATTACGGAATTTTTCTCACAACTGTACTTCTTGCTGTTACACTGTAATCCTAAAGTATAATTTTATTGTGTATTTTTTTACATCCAATTTTATTTATTTTCATTTTTAAATTTAATATTTTCGATATCTCATGCCTTCATCGTAGATCTTCTGCATATTTTCATTGCGCATTAATTCAATTCATCCTACTTTCAATTCAGCATAAGTTTCAATTGAGCATAGGCTTTGTTAACGTTAAAAATTTAAAATGATTTAATCGAACTATAATAACCCTTAGCAATTTTGAAAAAAAAATATGACGTATATATTGTTTGACTTTTAATGCCGAGCCTATCAAAGCATTTTGAAAAAAAAAATTATGAAAAAAATATGCCAGTTTTGTTAATTACATTAGTAGCCACATTTGTGTTTCAATATATGCACATTCCACTTCGTATGCTTCGTATGGAATCCTCCCCTGATTTTGAACAGCTCATTATTTTTCAATAAATAAGATATTTATTTTAATAAGAAGGGTGAGATTCATGTGTTGACAGCAGTAAAAAAACAAAATTTTAATTCTGAAAAAAAAAACTGTCATATAATGACATTAATAACTGTTTCTTTTTATTAATTTACAGATAAAAGGATTTCTGCAGTGGATGAAAGAAAATCCTGCTTACTTGAAACTAGAACAAAATGTAAAATATTTTAAACATTTAAAATCGTGCTTGGAATCTGGTACATGCTATAATGGTGCATTTTTGGATGCATTTTGCAAAACCCACGAAATAATCATCATCAAAACTGTTGGTTTAAAGTTGACAGAAGCAGCGGAATTATTCAGAAAATATCCTGACCTCAACTTGAAAATCATCTTCATAACAAGAAATCCCATAGCCGTTTTAAATTCGCAAAACAATCACCTCAAAAAGAAATTGTGTTTATTCAATGCGAACTGCACAGAACCCGATGCGTTTTGCTCAATGTTTCATGAAGATTTGAGACTCTCCTGCACCCTGTCCCATGAAAAACCTAATAACTTTATGATTGTACGCTACGAAGATTTCTTTGCGAATTCTTGGGTGTCTTCAAGTCGTGTTACAAATTTTCTAGGTTTCGAAACACTTCCAGAAGAAATTGAAATTCTTTTAAAATCTCAACAGCAAATCTCCTCGAGCCACAATACAATCGTGCCCTCTTGGCCAGAAATGTCACATGAAAATATTATAGGCATCCAAAAGAAATGCTACAGCGCCTTTAAAAGTTTAGGGTATCAATACAATTCATACAAAACTTTTGAGCATTATCATTCAAATAACCAACTTAATTTACATAAATCTTTTACATTTTTCTGTGTTAACGAATTTCTTCGGAGTTATGAACAATTTCTATAAATGGCGTCGTAAAAAAATTATTCCGTAAAAATTATGTATCTGTGATGGGCATTCAAGGATGACTAAATTTAGTCAGAATAAATTTATTCTGAATGATTATTCATATGCAAATTTAGTCATTATTCATTATGCAAATTTTTAAATATATGTAGGTACATGCGTACAATGAATGCATGCCGCATGTATGGAAGTACATATGTACAATATATGTTACCCAGTGTATCTGTAATTGTATACACATATATTGTGCATATGTAAATACATACATTGAAAATAGTCATCATGATTACATGAAATTAAATACATCGCTGTAATTGCCTGTAATCGATTATTGTAATCAACACCCAACTCTTTTATGTATGTCTGTAAATATATATATGGATCCACGTTGTATAAGCTAACTAACGTATATACATTGCTACTTCATAGTGCATACGTAAGTACATTGTGTGAACATTATTGTATGTTCACACAATCTTTGTACTTTTATACGTGTTTTGGATGTACACACATCCGTACGTATATGTACGTACGTATATTTTTCAAACACACAAAAGCATTTTATGTGTATACGTACATTATGTACATACGTACTCTGTATGTGTATCTGTACACTACGTACGTTTACTAACATTCTTGTATAAATTGTATGTGCATACTAACATGCATTATGTGTACTACTTTTGTATGCATTTACACATTTATGAATTGTACGTACACTTGTTCATAAAATGTACGTAAGTACGTAATGCCATGTATTAGCAATGTATGTTAGAATCTAAACATTCAACTTATTTTACTTATTTACGTAAACATTTATATACAGTGCTCGTTCATGTACATATATATATATGCATAGACATACAGCGTAGTTAAGTGTGCAAGGTATGTACAACATATTTATGTATTCATGTAGTAACTATTTTTACAATTATTCGTAATAGAGATTACTTGTAATCGCTAAATTATGAATGCTGGTAAAAATGACTGCTTATAATTGTACATATTGATTGCTTAAAATAATAGATTTTGGTCATTATTAACTATATATACCAGTTATCGTCTCTCGTTGTCATTACTGGTAATTATAATAACTTTTTCTTATCTGAAATTGTTACTTGTAACTTTTAAAAGTGATAAAAAAGTAGTTTATTACTATGTACTTTTCATTTGTAGTTGTCACAATCGTTGTCAATTAGTGTATTTCTTCTTTTATGCAGTAAAATTATTCACTTATTCTTGACTAATGAATAGAACTTTACTCATTATTTTGAATGCCGAATGCCCTTCTCTAAAATTATATATATATATGGGAAATAAATTTTTTTCAAACTAGATTTTCCAAGAGAATCTGTCTGATTCAAATAAACAGACCCTTTATTATTTTAGATCAAGTTCAGTTAACAGCTTAAGTTGGATTTTTTTATATACTGCATTGATTGTTTACCATGGAAGGAATCTTGAGATTTGGAACAGATTATTCCAGTCATGAGAATAGGTATACAATATAACTTTATTCACTCAGTTCTTTCAAAAACGGTTATCTTATTTTTTGAAAAGAATTATTTTCGATAGAATTCAAATATTTCGCTTTTTCAGATAGATTTTTAACTGCTGAATTGATAAGAGATATCAGTTTTATACTTAAGTGCCTTGCTCATTAAGTGTTTTCATTATACAATATGATGATTTATAGAAAGTAATATCGATCTGATTCTCCTACCGATCATATTGATTCTGCTTTATTATATAGAAAAGTATTGAGACATTTATTCTAAAAGAAAAACTTTCTATTGTATCTTTGAAAACGTATTTATGGTGAAATTTATTGATTGTCTGTGTGTGTGAGCATGTATTTGAGCATATATTTGACGTAATTAGGTATAATTTATTGAAACAAGTTACTGAAAAATAATAGACTACGGATTTATGGAAAAACGGATTTTTACGTTAGTTTTAATTTATTTAAACGAAATGAAGGGTGTGTGTGCTAAATATAGCCAAGTTTCACCGCACTGTTTTAACGGACACGTCCCACACTGCTTTTGTCTGTTAATGATGACAATTTTACGCACACGTCTGTGTTCTTGGTTATTAAGTGCAAGAGGTTGGCCTCTATGTTGTCCATGGTTTGGGGTTTTGATTGAAATGAGGTATTCTCGGTCTACTCTCTCGGTCTTTATCTCTTCTTGATTATCAGTTTTAACTATTTGGTTTTGGACTCACAATTTAAAGCGAGAAACGGTATATCACTTAGAGAGCAGTGTTTCACACTCTTTGGGCCATAGTACTTAAACTTACTTAGGTGGAAAGTGAAAATTTCAGATATTGCACTCAAATCTTAAAGCAATTTCTTTTAATTATTATTTTATTGATTTTTTCTTAGTACTGGCTTAAAAAGAAAATGTTGAAAATGCTTATAAATGACAGAAAATAGAAATTTTGTTTCATAAAAAAGCAGCTTAGTGTACTTACGTCACCAATCAATGGTCTTAGTATATAAATTAGTTTTAAAAAAAATAAAATTACTATAAGAGTTATCAAAATAGGACGAAATATTATCGAGATCAGTTAGGGTAGAGAGAAAATAATGATTACAAAACTATAATTTATTTATCGGATGAAGGATTTATTAGTAGAAAAAAAATGCTCAATTTTTGAGCTTGAATAATGTTTCTTTATCTCATTTAAATAAATGATGGTAATCATTCACGAAATTTTATTAATGACTATATTTAGTCAGAATAAATTAATTCTGAATGAATATTCATATGCAAATTTAATCATGATTCATTATGCAAATTAATGCAGATGTTTGAATAATGAATAAATTTATTAGTCTTGACTAATTTTTCTGATTAAAATCTTGAATAACCAGAGAAAAATGCAAGCATTACGTCATTTTCTTTGTTGTTGCGAGTCAATGACAAATTACAGTTATTGATTACAAATGTAATGAACTATAGATAAATCAACTTCTTGCGACGATCATGGCTACAAGTAATCAGAGTAACAAATTATTATCATTTCTCAATATCATCGCCATTTGTCACCGCTTGTCAACTTACAAGCGGAAGACTAGTAAATTGAGACCCAAAAACCTCTGGTGGACAGATACTTTCGTGACAATGAGGAAAAGAGTGAGAGCACTCAGANCCTCTTAATGGGCTGTCGCGCCACTGAGTTAGTTAGTTAGTTAGGTATAATTTATTGAAAAATAATGGACTACGGATTTATGGAAATACGGATTTTTACATTAGTTTTAATTTATTTAAACAAAATGAAGGGTGTGTATGCTAAATATAGTCAAGTTTCACCGCACTGTTTTAACGGACACGTCCCACACTGCTTTTGCCTGTTAATGATGACAATTTTACTCACACGTCTGTGTTCTTGGTCATTAAGTGCAAGAGGTTGGCCTTTATGTTGTCCGTGGTTTAGGGTTTTGCTTGAAATGAGGTATTCTCGGTCTACTCTCTCGGTCTTCGCCTCTTCTTGATTATTAGTTTTAATTAATTGGTTTTGGACTCACAATTTAAAACGAGAAACGCTACGTCACTTAGAGAGCAGCGTTTCACACTCTTTGGGCCATAGTACTAAAACTTACTTAGGTGGAAAGTGAAAATTTCTGATATTGCACCCAAGTCTTAAAGCAATTTTTTCTAATTATTTTTTTATTGAGTTTTTCTTAGTACAGGCCTAAAAAGAAAATTTTAAAAATGCTTATAAATGACAGAAAATAAAAAATTTGTTTTATGAAAAAGCAGCTTAGTGTACTTACGTCACCAATCAACGGTCTTAGTACATAAATTAGTTCTTAAAAAAATAAAGTTACTGTAAGAGCTATCAAAATGTGAAGAAATATTATCGAGATCAGTTAGGGTAAAGGAAAAATAACGATTACAAAACTGCAATTTATTTATCGGATGAAGGATCATTCAGTAGAAAAAAAATGCTCAATTTTTGAGTTTGAATAATGTTTCTTTATATCATTTAAATCAATGATGGTCATCATTCACGAAATTTTATTCATGACTATGTTTAGTCAGAATAAATTAGTTCTGAATGAATATTCACATGCAAATTTAATTATGATTCTTTATGCAAATTAATGCAGATGTTTGAATAATGAATAAATTTATTAGTCTTGACTAATTTTTCTGATTAAAATCTTGAATAACCAGAGAAAAATGCAAGCATTATGTTATTTTCATTGCAAGCTGAGCGTCGATCACAGTATTCGATTACAAATGTAAATAATTATGGATAATTACTGCTTAGTAATCACATATTTGCAATGATCTTGATTGCAAGTAATCACTGTAACAAGTAGTTATTATTTCTCATTACAGGTGGTTATGATTATTTGTAATCACAATAAAAAGTGATTACAGATAATCAGAATTACAAACAATCAGAATAATAAAAATCAAGCCCTAGGATTGTAAGTCCTCGTAACTACTTGTAATCATAACGTAAGATTACGTACTACAAGTAGAAAAAATCTTAACTACAAGTTATCATAATCTAACAATTACAGGTAATCTTAAATTCAAGTAATAGTGACATATATGATTACAACATGATTAAATGAATCAAGTGGGCTTATGAATCATAATTTCAAGTGAACTTACCTTGTAATAGGGATTGAAGGAAATTGAATACTTTTAAGACAATGCATAAATTGTATATGTTAATGAATTGTTTAGTTTACTTTTGCTTGGTTTATTAAATTAAAACTTTTATGTATAGAATTACATACAAAAATATGTAATTAAATATACGAAGAAGATTACATTGCGATTACTTGTAATCGTAGGTTTGTACGTGCATTATACGTAAGAACTCTTTTTATTTATTAGCATATTTATGCATATAAAATTTATGTACAGATGTATGTAAGTACGCATATACTATGTATGTAAATACGCATATATCAATGTACATCATCAAAACATGTGTATATAATGTATTAGTGTACGTATTTATGTACAAAAATGCTATACGTACGTATATACAATGTATGCATGTACGTCAGTTTATATAATGTATAAGTGTGTACATGTACAAGAAATACATGTATTTACAATGTATGTATGCACATACGTTATGTGATTGTAAATCAAACTCTTTAACTATCAAGGCTATGTCTTTTCGTGGATCGAGATGCAAAACATCGTTTGGTCTCAAACGTCTTGTAATAGGAATTTTACCATAAAACTAAGACAAGTATGAATATTTATTTTTATGTTATTTTAACTTACTCCAGCGTAACACTAATGATTTATAAGTTCTTATACTTAGCTGTGTTAAAAAGAAGTTTATAACAGTTCAATTATTTAAGTTCAGTTTAGTTATTTAAATTCATTTTAGATTTTCTTCTAATATCTACAATACTCAATTTCTTATCATTTTTTAAAGAAAACGATAATCTTATTGTAAATTCCTAAGTATAATTTCAACTTAATCATATTCAATAAGTTCTTTTAATACATGATTTGATATTCGACTTTTTATCTGTGGTTAACATTAAAAAAATCAGTATAAAATAAAAGTTAACAGTCAGAAACTTCTGTTCAAGTTTGTGACAGAAACTTGTGCAAAGCCTTTGGAAATCTGTCTTGCTATCTTCAATGGAAGGTCAGTGCTCTATCCCCTGATCTCCTGCACGACAACTATTGAACAGCCTACCCAACTTTAACTATATGACTATAAATGTTCAACTCCGTAGCCTTACAATTTTGGATCCATCCCTAAAAACAAGGGACTCTTGGATCCAGCATTGAGACAAACTAGTCCTTGTGGACAACTTTCTGATGGAACTGATCCGGATGCACCTTATGTGGAGAAGAAAAACACGAAAACCTCATGCGGTTAGCTTGATGTCAATGGTGATGACTCTGACTATGACTCTGAACTATGAATTATATTATATAAAAGTAAAGTTTGAGCCTCAAAAATTTTATGAAAGTGGTTGAAAAGTGGTTGGTGAAAGTGGTTTAAAATGATATATGGCAATCAAAACTGACAATTGATTTTAAATATCGTTTAATTTAGTCATTTAAATTGCTTGAGTCGTCATAATTAAAGTTTTGAAATTAGATAACTTACATAAATTGTACATATTGTATTGTAAATAACTTTAATTATACATATATTGTATATATATGCATACATTGGACAAACCTGTATGCACATACATAGTGCATATATATATATATAGAAATTGCCTGCAA